AGACGTTACCGCCCGAGGAAGGTGCAGAAGCACAATTTTCGTACCGATGAGCCGGTATAGCGACTGGCTGCGGGCTGGACGATTGAGGAGTCGGAGTTCGAGACCCGGTAGGGACAAGAATTTTCGCTTCTCCAAATCATCCAGACCTGCTCTGGGGTCCACCCAAACTCCTATCCAATAAGTACCGGGGGTAAAGGAGCCGGGGCGTGAGTGAAGATGATAACTCACCTCCAGCTAGTGTCGAGGTCAAGAAAATGTTCTATACATCCAACTCCATAAGCCTTCATGGCGTAGTGTTTAATTCGTTGAGCACAGGGACAGCTTTACTTTTTTTACCTTTTTATCTAAAGTTATTCAAGTAGAAATATGTTTAAAACACTTGCTATGAACGAGACATTATGCGTCGGGACACTAAATACAGCTTATTAGAACCTCCTCTATCTTCAGTTTGCACGTACCCGGTAAGTACCTAGCTGCTGAGAACAATTATATGTGTGTGTATGGGGGGGTACATACGCAAACACGATAGAAATCGGCCCATCACTATGTACGCACGTTATATGACTATATTTGCATGTTATGTCGTTCTCACACTTTTTTAATTGCTAGTGGGGTGGGACTAATTCCCTTGTACTGCGGCCACTTCTGGGCTATTGTACCAGCTCCAGATGATGGGTGAGGGTGATTGTGGAGCAATTGGTGGAATGAAGATTGGCAGGGGAAACCGAAGTACTCGGAGAAAACCTGCCCCAGCGCCACTTTCTCCACCACAAATCCCACTTGACCAGACCCCAGGATCGAACCCTGGCCGCCGCGGTGGGAAGCCAGCGACTAACCGCTTGAGCTATGGTGCGGCCTCGTTCGCATGCTAGTAATTCTCAAGGAATTAGGTAGGTCTATCTTCGAAACTACGTACTATGAAAATTCACTATGTAGTATTTACGGTTATCACAGCGGTGGTTATAAAGTTTCCTGTCTTCTGGGATATAGAGCCATATTGACTTTTAAAGGACTACATGACTTTGTATACCAGAAAATAGAACCCTTGATCTTAATTCACGGTTCTGCGGAGAGGGCAGGGAACACACAAAAGTAAGAATAGTATAAAAGACGAAAAGGCAAAATGATTCGCCATTGAACATGAAAGAGTTTTCCTTTAGTTTGCCTGTAAGTGGAAGAAGTTTAAACTGACTCATGCCAGATGTTACCTACATGGATTTTAGTTAGAATTTTCCTGAAACCAAAATACAACTAAGCGACCCAGTTCGATGAGTACTGTATATATTAAAATTACCCGAATGTTTCGTAATGTTGATCTACTGCTGTTATATACATCTGCGTTCCAAATTCTGTTTTATTACAGCAGAACCTGATAGTAAGGTAAATATAAGTTTACGTTATAGAGGCTGGCCAATGTTACCATTTTGCGCATCAAGTATAACAGAATCTGGATTATTGTTGCATCACGAATATTAGGTCATCCAAACTAATTTATATATTTTTTTCTTGTTTTGTGGTGCAGTCTTGAAACACTTTCGACCTACTTTGTTTGAACCCACACTACCAATCGCATCCTCTACAGAAATATACATTAAAGGCTAAATGACTCTCACCACAGCCCATTATGAGCCTTGACCTTCTTGTGGAGATATAACTCCAGTCTTTCTTAGCCTTCGTCACTGGAAGGGCTTGAGCGATTAGCATCACTCCCCGTCAGCTTTGCCTCGGGATATGAGCGCAAGATATCCAATGAATAGGAGGCTGGGTGGAACCTAGAGTGGTGTTGTTCTCGAGCAAGAAGAGCAAAATCTTGTCCCATGCTAGAAACCGAACCCGATTCTCCGGTCATTCATTCCATAGCTTCGTTACATAACTCACTAAGCCACCCGGCTTATATATACTCGTAATTGTACGTAGTTTGCAGTGTTCCCTGAGGTCAATGTTACTGTTGTCTGCATAACGTAACGGCGTAATTGTTCGAGGTGTTTGAGGTGTTTACGCTGAGATCAGTGGGGGATGATCTTCAGAATTAAAGTTCTTGAGCACCTACAAGCTAAATAAAGAAATAGCACGCTTCCGTCGTTGTGATTCTCGTATTATTATAAATTAAAACTTGAGCAATCAACTTATTCTTGTGTACAGAGTTACTTAGAATCCTGGCCACGCCATAGCTCAAGCGGTTAGTCGCTGGCTTCCCACCGCGGTGGCCCGGGTTCGATCCCGGGTCTGGTCAAGTGAGATTTGTGGTGGACGAAGTGGCTCTGGTGCAGGTTTTCTCCGAGTACTTCGGTTTCCCCTGCCAATCTTTATTCCACCAATTGCTCCATAATCACCCTCACCTATCACCTGGGGCTGGTACAATTGGCCAGAAGTGACCGCAGTACAAGGGACTTAGTCCCACCCCACTAGCAATAAAAATACTTAGAATCCTGGATATTAGAATACTGAATGTGATTTCAATGTAATTAGTATTGTCAGAATGCGATAGTTACCTCGTCCAAAATAACTCCGAAGCCTATCCAAGAAATTTGCTTAAAATACTTCCATAGTAATTAGAGAACTTACACGTTAACGCTTCACAAACACACCTTCACCTTTAAAATGCACTATTCGCTACTCTTTAACAGTTTCCAACGGTGGACGTTCCCCTTCCTGTGGGTTGCCGAACTGTCTCCGGCCTCAGCTACCGGCTTCTCTTGACTAACTAACTCAGTCACTCACCAACCAACTAACTCAACTCAAGTCAACTCACCTCACCTCAACTTACTGACTGAACTCACTCCTCACTAATAACATCTAGGCAAGGACCGCACAGAAAACGCCGTTCCTCTGTTGCTGTTTACGGGCCATTGCCTAGTTACTATCATTGTCTAGTTGTCTGTTTCGCGGTTGTTGCCTAGCAATGAGCCTACATGCCACAATATGTACTCGAAAATTTCCATGAATTCTTGTAATTTTCATTGCTTGAGAACTGCCAAGCGACCATAAGAGAGATTTCTCTTGGCCGAAAATGTCACAGTAAAGCTAATCACAGTGAGAACATTATGTCTGAAGGAGATTTATGTCATTTATAATATATGAAACTTTAAGGATTAATCTATAATAGTTTCAACGGAATTTTTGTTTGACGGTATGAAGTATTTTTAATAGTTTTGAATTGGAATAGTGTTTGTTCGCTGTAAACGAAATCGCATACGTAGAAGAGAGCAGCGTGAAAATAAAAAAGATTACTTTCGATATAATTCCATCTGTGACTTTTAAAGTAAAAATATTACAAAATTCCTTGAGAAGACACTAGTCATAGAACAGTAGTCATATGATTTGTAATACATACACGTAAGCGTATCTGCAGTAGCATTTAATCCAACGTGTCATTTTGGGTAGTGAAGATTTCTTAGCTTTGCATGCGTCATTATTTTTCTTCCATAGAACCGAGTGTGGGCTGGGGAATACGGTGAAATAGTTTATGGACAACATCAGTCGTTCTAATTTTGATTTGAAACAACGTTTTGGAGACTGCATTCTGTCTCTGTTCTAAAGAGAAAGGCCCATCTGTTGGGCCCAGTCGATGGAGCTGGTTCCTCTCTCCGATATGTTGTTTCAAATAAAAATAAAGACGAAGAAAGCAGTCTTCTGGGATGTGGCGCCGTGTATATTGTGTTAACCGACGTTTCGGAGGAACGTATTGCCTCTATCTGTGGCTGAACACAGCATCGATTTGGGAAACCGCATTCAGCTGCAGAATACCCCAATCCTCGCCACCAAGACCCAATATACGGATCACATCATTAGGGAGGCCATTGAGATTGAACTCCATCCCGACAACATGAACAGAGAGGTGGGATTTTGTCTCAGCAAGTCATGGAACCTCTCATCTGTTCCCTCAAGAAACCTCTGGGACATGACACCAGATCCACAAGGCCACGCAAGTCCATGCCCGACTCGCATAGCAACCCCTGCCCTGCATTAACTTTGCCGTTCTCCCTCGGCACAATATTCTGTACCTGCTCTGGCCTGCTACCTGCTGGCCCATCTATCCAGACCCTTCCCCTCTCCTCTCTACTGATTTCCCATGTAGCTCCTCTCCCTTCTCATCCTGCTCTTATACAGCTGGGTTTATTTTCGACATTAGTCTGTGAGCACCTACTCACGCCGGTTCTTCGCTTGCGGATTTTCAATTTTTTTCTTCTAACCTGAAGATGGAGGCGATACGTTCCTCCAAAACGTCGGTTAACACAATATCTACATGACACCACATCCCAGAAGACTGATTTCTTCATATTCTTACAAATCTTACAAAAATTAATATGATGACCATTTCCAGAAAATTGATCATTGCTTTAATATGCCATTGTCGTGAAATCTTGGGTTTTATTTATCTTGAGAATCTTTAATTCTTCTTCGTGTTCTTCTATTATCGGCCATAACTACAGCTCATAGCTTATCATTTTCTTTGGTCGATCTATAGTTCCTTTGCATCAAATCTAACTTTTGAATGATGTATTTGTTTAGCGAACCTCTGACGATTACGGCAATATTTGAACAATTGTACCAGTATTATGTTGAGTCTCTCTGGTGATCTAGTAATTAGCCTACCAGTCTAGTACTCAGAAGGACCCAGGTTCGATACAAACTGCTGCAATTACTCCTAAAACAGATAACATAAAATAGAAATATGTTATAACAAAGACAACCACTCACCCGAATGGAGTAGTAGGGCAAAATCTCGAAACCTCGTCTGTAGGTATTGGTATTGAATTAAAGTGGCTGCAATTATTGCAGCTCACTGTTCCTCATATCGGGAAGTAATTATGTTGTGTACCTTATTATTACGCATTCTAGTTGAGTTCTATAAAATATAATGAAATACATGGAGGATTTTTACTTTATTGACCGGTTCCACAGCTCTGCTCTTCACGACGACCGGTGCACTGCTTGCTGCAAGGCACACACAAATTTTGACGATGAATCAGCATACGTGAATGGCGATAAGTTTCGGAATGAAGGGAAGTTCTTACTTTTGTCTGCATAGACGTACGTGCAGTGTGGGCAGTAGCTGAGTCTTGCTGGAACCAGCCATAGAGTCTTTCTTCTTCTGTTAATTTCGAAAATAATTGCCCTGTACATATCTCTCGCAATTAAGTGTTTCGTTAAAAACACAGGTCCAACAATCCTTCTTGAACTTACAGCACACCAGACCCCAACTTGCACTGGATGGAGCGAGACCTCATGGGTTAGATGTGGATTCCGTGGACGCCAGCAGCGATTATTTTGCGTATTTATGTATCCTTGCAAGTGAAACGACGCTTCATCAGAAAAGAAAATCAATTGCGGATCGACCTCACCTTCGACGACAGACTGTAGAAACCAACTGCAAAAATTATCCTGCTAGCTGGATCGCGCGGCTGCAAGGAGTGGATTGCTGTTGTTTTATACGGTCTAAGCTTCAGCAATTGTGTTCCCGTTCTTGCGTTACACTTCGACACTCCAGTCTCTTGAGCTAGAGTTTTCATCGGGTCATCATCAGGCGTACAATGCTCCAGTTTCAGCTGTTGAATTGCAATTAATTATCATCTAATTCTTCAAATAAGGATCATTATTGTGTCTTGAAATTATTTAAATGCATAAATTCATATATAAAGTCTTGGTAAAAATTTAAAACTGAAAATCTTTGTGTAATAAAATTAATTTAAAATTAAAGGTGTAAAGATTAAAATTAGAAACTAAAGATTAAAAATGAAAGTTAAAATAGTGTTTTGTGCTAAAACTCTGCGACCACTACACGTTGACCTGGTCTATGACGGTAGAAGCTACTATAGCCTGGGGCGGTCCTTCGCCGCTGGCGATGGGAGATACTGCAACATCCGCCATGTTCACCCGATATGAGTCCGTGCGATTATGATCTCTTTGCCAAAATGAAAGAACCACTGCGAGGGACACGTTGCAACGCAGGAGAGGAGATTATTCGTGCTGTAGGGCAGTTACTGCTGGACATCAACAGAAGTGGACGCGCTGATGGTGTACGACGCCTTCCACAAATTTGGCAGAAGGTGGTACATAAGGGGGGCGATTATACTGAAGGAATGTAAGTGTGTTTACCTCAGGTAATAAAGTCATTTCAGAACTATAGAGGCGTTGCGACTACTTTTTATCCAACCTATGCATAATTCTTGGTAGAAGAATCTGCATTAGAGCAGCGTTTCTCCAATATCCTCGATTTCCCCAAACTGATTATTATTCTACCACTCATCCATAATCTTCTATTACCGCATCCTTTTTATGTCTGTGTTATAGCTTAAGCGGCAAGTCTCTGGCTTCTTATCACGAAGGGCAGGATTCGATCCCAGCTCATGTAATTTTGGATTTGTGGTGAAAATTGGGAATGGGGCTGAACGTCTCCGAGTACATCGGTCTCCCTATCCAGTTATTATTCCACCAGTTTCTCCACACTTGTTAATCATCGGCTCTTCGACGCTGTGCTGGTTCGATACTGATAGCATCATTAAACACAGTACTAATTCCGTGCTTCAGACAGAGAACGTTGCCTCTCAGCTTTATTTAGCGGTACTTTGACTCGGGTCATTATGCTGCCTTAACTTTAATTGGTGATCCCGAGTCTTAGTATCCTGCCTGCTATTCTGATCCGACTCGAAATGTAAGCGTGCAACCTTCGGTTTTGTAAACAGTAACGTCGCCTTCGATTACTGCACACTGTTTTAGTTCAGGGGTTTGGACAGGGAGGCCACGATAATATAAATATCAAATATGAAATTCCATAACGTGATTCCGATTGCGCGTACAGTTATGATTATTTCATACAGAACGCAATATCAACATTGAAGGTTCGTTTTCTTCGATTTGAATAAGTATGAATAATTGTTTCTCTTCTGGAATATAACATCGTGCAGTCCATTGGAAAACAACCAACGTTTCAGGAGAATATGTCGCCTCCATCTTCAACGTCGAAGAATAAGCCAAAGAAGAAACCAGCATGAAGAAGGCAGTAAACACATTCTGGATTCTTGCTTGACTTATTCCTCGTCCCTAAAATGTGAGGTTACATGTTCCTCTGGAACGTCGGTTGGCTTTGAGCTGACTACACGGCGTTATATCCAAGAAGTTAGAACTCTCCATAATCACCGCTGTGAGAACCTCAAATCCTACATTGAACAAGTTAATTTTATCAAGAGGAAGAGAATTTCGTAATTCTCGCTTTCGTGTAACGTTTCGTGGTAGATTATATAAGGAACCTCTGTAGGCAGAGGTTCAAGTTGTATGGAAAACCACATGGATTGTATATAATATATATGTATACGAGTATATGTATGTGAATGTGAGAAAATAACATTAAAACTCATTGTAGAGATTTTCCTATAGAATAGTGAAACGGATTGATCTAGTCCGTGGTAGTATCCATGGAGAAACTTTTGTACTGAAGAATCCTGGAAAACTACAATAACTGGGAATTTCTTGTATAGTTGACTTCAGATCATTCGCTGAGAATATGGCATCTTCAGTGAAAATATACTCTAAATATGAGGTTCTGAAGAGAGTGAGTGTCAAGATTACGGTAATATTGTGTGACACCGTGTAACCTGGTACATGGGGACGAACATTTCGGTGGATTATACTGCCTGCATCTTAAAGTTATGACCCTGTACATAGAGACATCAGTTTCCTCCGAAACATTGGCACGCACACACACACACACACCAACTTATATGGCGTAACATCTAAAAAACACAATCTTAAGTCAATTTTAATTAATTTAATTTGGATAAATTTAAAATCTTTTACTTAACAATTGCTTCCAAGCCAGCCCATGTGATATTCGTGGCGAAGGATAGAGTGCCGTACATTTTGTTTTAATGTTATTTTTCGGCCTTCGACTGACCGTCGTATTTAGTGAATATCGTAGTTTCATTATCGTAAATGTTGTCGCCAATTCACCTACCTCTCTCAGCGCATTAGATTCCACTTCAGTGTTTCAGGTGGATTTTTTCAATTGACCTCATCCTTCCAGCCGCACTATGACCCTGTGGTCGACTCAGCCTCTAACAGAAGTGAGTACCAGTAATCTTCCTGGGGCTAAAGGTGCGGCCGGCGACTAAGGCTGACAAACTCATAGCCATCTGTGAGCCGATTGTCTACAAAATGTGGGAGCCTCGACCTCTCACAACCCTATGGGCCTCCACGGCCTGTCACAGGGAAACGTTTACTTACTTTTACTTTTTCCTTTACAATCTTTGCTTTTGGATTTACATTATTTCGTGTTATTTAAATTTGCATGCAAGTTTCTAACCTGGATTGTAAGTGTGGGTCGAAAGACACCACAAAATTAATATGAAATCATTAGGTAGCATTATTTATTAACGACGGACATACGTCTCACTGGATGTGTTAAGCTTCATGTTCCCGTTAATTCATAGCCGCGAGTGCATGTAACCAAGTGGTGATCGATAATTTCGTCTGACGGATCATATGGGCAGTTTAGGCGAGCTTCACTGTCAACATGTCTTTATCGAAGTAAAAATGGAAATTTACAGTTTCTATTTCCAATTTTTACACAGATAAAACGAAATTAACGTACACAATATGAGTTAAAATATTTATACTCAATTAAGTATAACTTAGCCCAAAGTTTTCTTTCCCCGAAATTATTTGTCTTATGTCTGATCACACTGAAATCGCAAAGTATGAATGCCTGATGTTTGCAGCCTGAATGCGCGACCGTGAGCCGCTTTGAAACTGTGGTCGGGCCCCTTTCGTTCACACCATAATGTAGATCCAAGAAATGGTAACAAATCCAGTGATTACTTTGACTTTCACACAAGAGAAACAACGTTTATTTGATGTTTCTTGTGCCTGCAATTCGCAGTGTTGCAAAAATTGTGCAGGTCAGTGTTTTAATTCGTAAACACTAATAAATTGTAGACTTTATATTGCGTGAGTGTAGGACGTTCTTCGGGTATCTGTACTGTCTAAATATCCTCAGAGTTCATTAACTGTGGGGATAAAAGTACAGAATTTATTAAATATTAATGTTTGCACGCGAGGTGCATGCACGTATTACAATGTATGAACTAGTACAGATATGTAGAGTCGATCTTTGTAATTGGCGAGTTTATTAACACTGGCGACATATACAGCGGAGTCTCTACTGTGGGTACCAGAATAACTTGTCATGGGTTAAAATCAGCCCACAATTTTATCATTCAGATTATGGACTCTGTCTGTGAACTTATTCGTTTGTAACTGACTCATAATAAGATTTTACATATGACAAGACACTAAGATATGGGAATAGGGTTTCTTGTAGAGACTCATTTAAAAAACTTCATATCTTGCCTTTGAAATCTCAATATTTATTGTCCCTGCTTATTTTTGTAGCCAAAAATAAAGATCTTTTTACAACAAATATTGAAAGTCACAGTGTGATAACTAGGCATGGTAATAATTTGTATATTCCACAGGTTAATCTAGCCATCTATCAGAAAGGAACTTATTATTCTGGAATAAAATTTTACAATAAATTACCTTCCAATATTAAGAATGTTAGTGACAATTTAAAAATTTTTAAATCTACTCTAAAAAGATATTTACATATGAATACATTTTATACATTAGACGAGTTTCTTGAACATGAATCTTGATCATTAATTGACTGTCATTTTACGCTTAATTTACTATGTATATATTACCTGTATTACCT